TATTTCAAAAGGGATGGTAGCTTCTCTACTAATAGTTGGATTTGAGGTATAAATCAAATCAGTTAAAAATTTAGGACATTGACTAGCCATAGTTCGAATTACATGATAAAAACTAGCTTTGAGAGCTTTTCAGTTTGCTGTTGCTGGTTTGATTTCTTTGCCTGGAGTAAAGTTATATAAATGGTTTTTGAGAAATTCAAAAATTTGAAATGATAAAGGAGTTTCAAGTTTTTTAATTTTTTCTATTTCCTCAGTAATAAGAAAATGTTTAAGCCAATCAAAAAGTGCTTTAGGTTGGTTTGTTTGAGTTTGAGAATTTTCTGTTAGATTATTAGTTGATGTGTTATTTAGCTCCTTGTTTTTTCCTTTAGAAACAGAAGTAGGATTATTTGGATATTGTAAAGAATTATCAATATCTATATTTAAAGAGGAGTTTTCAGCAAGAGTTTTAGTAGTTTGAATAGTTTGTTGAGTAGTTGGTGATAGTGGTGGTGTGTTAGTATGAGTTGGTGTGAGAGTTTTAGGAGATAAGTTTAGTTGTTCAGTTTCAGTAATTAAAGAAATATCAATTTCCATGTTTGAGGATGTATTATTTTTAGGAATAGATACTGTTAAAGTAGATAGTTTGATTTCTGGTTGAGTAGTAAGTGGAACTGTTGTTGCGATATTAGAAATAGTGAAAGGTTTTGTTTGGTTCTGTTGAAATGTTGCTAAGAGATTTTTTCTAGTAGAAGTATAATCCATTGGAGAGGTTGAAGATGTTGTATAGATACCAGTTGTTGTTGAAGTTTTAGCAACTTCAGGTATTAAACAAGTATAATGATAAGCATTATTATTTTGAAAAGTTGCATCGTTACTAAGCTTATATTGATTATTTGTGACTTGCAAGAAATTAGTTGTTGGTATTTTTGACAAGAATGTTGATGAGTGATTGGAGTAGGTAAAAGAGGAATGTTATCAGTTGATGTGACAATACTTTGTAGCATTTTTTGAGTATTTTTGTTTTTGGTATTAGCAACAAAAGGAATAAAGTCAGTATGAACTAGCTTGAAAGGTTTGTTGC